GAAATCCCCTTGGACACTTGGGAATCCCTCTAGAGCCAAGACTCTTGCCAACCCTAAAATGGCTCCCTTAGTTAAGATATTTTCTTCCCTGCTCCCATATCCACCCTTCCTCCATCTCAACAGTCCCATTTCCCCAAGCTCTCCCCATCCTCCACTTCTCCCTCCCCATCTCCCCTTCCCCCAAACACACCTGACTCCTCTGGCAGCCTGAGGTCCTCAGTGACAAAGAGACAGCAAAGAAGTCCCAAGATAATCATAAGAATTTGTTATTGAATCTGACCCAGGCTCTTCTGACCTGGGTGGGCTATGGAATTGTGACCTGATTTGCTTAGAGATAATGAACCCAGAAAGGGTCCCAGACCGGTTTCTCTAATCTTGGACTGAAGAGGCATTTCTACAGAAGAACAGAGCTTTTCTGCAGGAGAACAGACAGCTCTTAAGGTCCCTTCCAGATGGACACTGGACTCGGGACATTTCATTTGTTCTGTTAAAGCTGTTTTAAAGTAGAGACAATGTAGAAAGGGGAAATCTTCTAGCTAACCTGGAATTCTAATCCAATGTCAGAATTAAAAGTATCAGAGCAGACGTTATAACACATCATATGGCAATGCTGTTCTCTGGAGAAACCATAGGACTTTAGAGATGAGACAGAGAAAACTCATTTCCCCTTTACAGATATCCACCGTTCGTCCCCTGAGTGGAGTGTGACATGCAGGAATAGCTTTGAAACCAAAAAGATTTGGTTTGAAATCCACTTGTACAATGAGATAGCCAGCCACCTTTTCCCAAGCAGCAATTTCGTACAAAAGCATAATTATACCCACCCAACCTGCATGAGGTATGAAACTCCTGCACTGCATGTCTTAGGAGACTGATTTGCTGTTGTGCTGTTTTCTTCTTTGACAGTCTTGCTATGTACCACAGGCTATCTTGAACTTAACTATATGGACAAGACTGACCCCGAACTTATGATCTCCTGTCTCGGCCTTCTGAGTGCTGGAGTTGCAGGCAAGTGCCCAACATTTTCCAGTGTTCTCTCAGAACAATACACAAGGCTTCAGGACTTCACCCCGCACTCTGCTTCTTTAACTCAGTCTCGGGGTGGATTTCTTCCCCCCACCTTGTCTGCTTTGGCTTCAGCAGCTGAGGCTAGAAGGATGCTCACAGCCCTCTGAGGCTGGTCAGTGAGAAGGGAGGCTTTTCAGAACTTTAGTACTCTGGGAACCATCCCTCCTCCACTCTCCAGAGAGCAGACACAGGTACGTAACAACTGTGCCGACAGACAACCCCACACAAATCTTCATTCCGAAAATAACACTTTATTATTTTACAATAGTTCAGGAAAGTCCTTGGGAGGTTGTGACTAAAATGGAATCACCATAGAACATAGAGCTGATCGGTGAGCCCATCAGTCCTCCCTCTTCAGGTGATGAGCACAGAAGGGAAGACATGATGTCGGCAATGAGAAAGCCGGCGGCTAGCAAGGGGGGACCACTGCTCTCAGGTCTGGATCAGGAATTTCCTCTTCTCTTCCCATTGTCTAAGCCCTGTTCGCAGAGCCGGGTGACAATGGCATTGAAGACAGAATAACTTACAACCACGAGCCGTAGCTCAGGGGTTTTTGAGCTAGAAGTTGCGATGCTCCGGCTCCTGAGTGGCTTCAGGACACGCACACATGCCCCAGCCCCAGTGGAGGGACATCCAGAAAACAGGATGCACCAGGCCTTGAGTCCCAACCTGTCCTCTGTTGTTATGGGAACTTTCTAAGATACGGAAGGGTTGGAAGTGGGAAGGCTGTTCTAAAAACTACAATTCTGACATTAGAGATGAAGGAATTACAAGTTCTGAGAGCTGTGGTTGTTTATATATATAAAGTGAAAAGTTTATTTATAACTTGTGAAAAACAGGATGAGGAGGACATGAGCCATCAGGAATAGATGGGACCGGGAATGTTAGAATGGTCGCAGAACCCTCTTCCAAATAGCAGTGCTGGGGGTCTGAAACAAACAAAACAAAACAACAACAACATGAGGAAGTCAGCTCCACCTGAGGCTCTTTCTCTTCACCAGTAATTCTACATCTTAGCCAACTGATCCCATCCTCACAGCAGAGCGGCACTCCAGGAGAAAGTTTCCTCAGGGGCTGAACACCAATAACATTCCTCATCTCCATACCTCAGCCTGTTCCCACAGCCGAGTTCTCCCTGCGTCCTTCCCTCTTACCCTTCGGCAGCTGCTGTCTGGGACATCTATCCATACAGATGTTTCGTGAGAGCCACCGGTACCAATCGAAGGAGTCTGGGGCGGCGGATTCCATTCACTCTGCCCCAGCCTGTGTTGAGAGAAAGATACAGCACACGTCCCCTGCATGAGCATCTTCCCAGCCATCCTGGGAAGGTGGCTTGGGGACTGGCAGCAGAGATTTCTCCCATAGGCCAGGCCCACACAGTAGTAAAGGAACTGCTTATTGAGGATGCTGGCTTGGGTGCTTCCGGCTGGGAAGCTGGTTAGTGTCTGACCCATGGAAGCACGACTAACAACGGAACTAGAACCCAATGCCCGTTTGTCTTTATGCCTCATGTTCCTCCCCCCCCACACACTACATTTCATTCAGAAACTCACTCATTTCTCTCTCCCCTTCCATCTCCACCCCACCCTGGTTTTTTCTTTGTTTTTGAGCAAGGGGCTTACTATGCAGCCCAAACTGGCTTTGAACTTACTATTGTCCTGGCTCTGCTTCCCAGGGCTGGGATTACAGGCATGCTCCATCACTCTCAACATTTTTTTTTCAATTTATAATAGGCAAAGAACTCAAGAAATTTTGTAGGACTCTTAGCATGAGGCTGAGCTGCAACCACTGCAGCGTCTGCAGCTTCTGCTCTGATTTCTGCTGATGTACTTATTACTTCATTCTGGAAATTCTCCATTTAAGGAGAAGCTGCCATTACTCAGTGGCCTCTGTGAACAACAGGGCAAGGCCTGTCTCGTCACTCAGGGCAGACATTTTAACTGGAGTGGGGGGCATGCGAAGCCCCTTCCTCTTCATGTTTCTTCCCCACACAGGGAATCTCCATCAACTGGACACTTCTCTATGGGTTGCTGTCTTCTTCAGCAGAGAGGAAATACCTTAATCTGAACCTGGTTCAGGTGGGCCATATTTAGTGGCCCTGCTCTCCATTCTGGGTTTGTTGTTATCGTTGTTTTGTTTTCTGAGACAGGGTTTCTCTATGCACCTAGGGAGTCTGCCCTGGAACTTGCTCAGTAGACCAGGCTGGCTTCGAACTCACAGAGATCCACCTGCCTCTGCCTCCCAAGTGCTGGGATTAAAGGTGTGCATCATCAACACCTGGCCTCCATTCTGCTCTCAGTCCGAAGGAAAGGGGGGAGGGGCTAACCTTAGGTTAATGTGGTCCAGACACAGGCTCCAGACTCATCCTGAATAAGCTGTCTCAAGTGGTCCCGAGCCTCCCCACGGACCAGGTTTCTCATAAGTGGCAGAGAAACGGCCATGAACAAATGTGTCTGAAAGTCTCTGCAAGGCCACTACACAAGCTGCACTGTGTTCCCGTAGAGCCTACCCTCAAGGCTACCTAGACGGTGTTGAGAACAAAAGCTGTATATAAGCTGGATGGGAAAGAAGGAAATCTCAGCTAAGACCTGCTCCCTGGGGAAGGCATTGCAAGAAGGCACAAACACCCCTAGTGCCGTTCATTCTGAGGGAAGAGACGGCGGACACAGTGACTCGCCCTTACACATGTAATGGAGGTGTCTGCTGTTTCTTTCCACGTAAAGGGGATCTCAGCAACAGAATGCTGCAGCCACACCACCTTCTCACACACAGTGATCTCCAGTTTCCTTGATGTGGAATAAGTAATGAGCAGGACACAGCTGTGTCTTTCCAATCACATTTGCGGTAGAGTACCCACAATATCACACACATTCATGCCCTCCTAGATGGCCAAAAGCCGGTGACTGGCAAAGGGAAGTTCAGGGTTAGGTAGTGCATTTGCCAATAAATCAAGCCACACTCCTTCTTAAGTGCTCTTCTATTTCCCTTAGGTTACAATCTTTAAAATTTCAATTGGCTAGCTAGGTGCGGTGACATATAGTTTTAATCACAGCACTTGGGAGGCAGAGGCCTGTGACTTCAAGGCCAGCCTGGTCTACAAATCAAGTTTCAGGCCAGCCAGAGCTACTCAGAAAGAACTTGTCTCAAAAACAAACAAACAAAATCTGGGAGTCAGACAGGTGATGAGAATGCGTTCATTTGGCCCTTTAAAAACTCTGACGATGGGGTCGTGGAGATGGCTCAGTTGGGAAGAGTGCTGGCTTTGCAAGCATGAGGATCTGCATCCCCACCCCCGGCAGCCATGTGAGAGCTGCCTGATTGTGTGCACCTGCAATCCCCAGGGCTAGGGAGAAGACAGAGGCAGGAGGATGGCTAATGACCCCTGGTCACTGAAAAATGGCAAGTGCCAGGTTCAATGAGAAACTCTGTCTCAGGGGACAATGTTAGAAAGGGTTACACCAAGACACCCAACATTGTCCTCTGACCTTGCCCCCTGCCACACTAAGAGCATATGGCGAACTCTACTCCACCAAGATTACAACTCAATTTCATTAAAATAACATACACTGGCCATACACAACAATAGGTTTCATTACGATGTTTTCATACACGTAGATAATATAGTTTTATCATATTCACCCATCACCCTCTCTTGTCTACCACCCAATTTCCTTGCACACAGTGTATGATGGAGGGCGAATCATGCTCCTGTACCTTGGCTGTGTCTCCCCTGTTGCCTCCGGATCCCTCTTTTTTTCTCCATTTATTTCCTGGGGCACGCCTGGAATATGTGGTGGCCCCTAGAAACAACAACAGTTGTGAGGGAAGCTCTTCAGACACCATGTGTGTGCAAACCGAGAGCCTTCCACTGTGTAGGGAAGTGACAATCCCTAGCTATCACTCTGAGTACTTCCTGCTGCTGCCTTAACCTCCTACAGCTCCTGCACCTGCCTCTCCAGGACAGCGCAGTGCTTGGAGAGGTCACTGGAGTGGTGCTGGCTCTTGTGGGGACTCTGGCTGACGTCGCTGAGCTGGATGGAGAGGGTGTTCTTCTCCTCCAGCAGCTGTGAGAATTGCAGCAGGGGTGAGGATAAGTGCCAGCCCAGACCACATCACTGGAAGCAGTGCTTAGGCAACTGGCCTGAACTTGCAGGACCTACCTGATTTGCAGTGCAGAATCTACCTTAGAGTCCTACCGCGGCCTGCTTCTTCAAAGGGAAAAATACCTAAGTGTTTCAGCCACGAAAGGAAACTAATTCTGGAAGAAGAGCAGGAAACTGGTTTATTTTTACTGGTTCCAAGGACTATGAACTGAATAACGATTAAAGAGAACCAACCCCCTAACAAAAATTCCAGTAGAACAGGCTATTCCAGGAATGTATGCAAAGCACAGAAGGTTGGTTCCATGCTAAAATTACTAATAAATAACAAGCCCTAGAACTCAGTATAGACAGAGAGCAAGCTCACACTTAAAAATGTGTGTCATAGTATTACTGGGTGTACATGTTTCCAAGGGAGCAGACAGAAGTTATAAGTCTCTATGCGTACTTGTGAAGCACAAGTGAGAGCCCAGATGCTCACCAAGTAGAAACAGTATGCCAACCTTTTCTCTAGGTCCCGAGGGATAAGCCACAGTCAGATATGTCCCTGCACAAGTTCAGTCAGGGTATCCACTACCTGGCAAAGCAATCTAACTGCTGGTTTCTAAACCAGAAAACATTTTTACTATGAGTGAAAACATTTAGCTGACTGGGATGGACTCCTCTTGAACCAGAATTGGGATTCTTCACTTGTGGACTGTCATTTTAAACTTCAGTCACGATTAACACCCAGATACATTGGTAGCCATGGAGACGTCCTGAGTACCCACCACGGAGACACGGGAAGGCTTGGGTCACAGGAAATGGATGGATCTGGCTATGAGTCTTGTGTTCTCTTGAGGATTCTCTTCTACGTGTTTGTTAAGAAAGTTCATCAATGCTTCAGAGAAAACAGATTTCTAGAGACAACTGGGAAAACACATTGGATGCACACAGATAGCACACATGATTACAACGTGCTCTGTAACTGAACGTGGCTCCAGATGACTCCGTGTGGTTGTTACTCTAAAGATCAAGTTTCAGTTTATAAAACATTTGGACAAATTCCATCTTCATTGAAAGAAGCAGAGAAAGCACCTCCCTCCTTTTTTACAGATGGAAAAAGGAAGTAAGTTTACACTACTCAAGGCCATGGCAGGAGCAGCTCCCAGAGCAAGGCTCACAGGTGTGGATCTCAGTCTTGAGTCCCACCTACTTTATGATGCTTCCCAATCTAAACTACAGTAAGGGCACTGGAAAGGCATGGGTGTGGGAAGAAAGGCTGTTACTGGAGAAAAGGGTGTGAATTTTGGGGGAGCTAAAGTTATTTGAGGGTGGTGGGCTGAGTACAATAGGAACTCCAGGGTGAGGACTAACCCCATGCTCTCCCACCACAGGAGAAGCAATCCTAGCTGGAATGAACAGCCCCCAGGTACACCAAACACAAGTAAACGCAAGCAAAACAAATCTCCCCATTTTAAAATTGTTTCTCATTTTGTCTCTAGTAAATCTAGAAACAGAGGTCAGACCCATAAACTTGTTGGAAGCAAGGCTTATGAACTACAAAGACAAATAGTCGATCACTAATCAGCCACTCGTAACCCGTCTTGGCTGTCTGCATTCTGTCTAGGTTTCTGGGGTTAGGAGCAGGCATAGGATCCAGGGGCACAGCCCTCCCAGTCAGTGTACATGGAGTCTCACTGGAGCAACCACTGCTCATAGGAACGGCTGCTGTGGGGCTGCCACTACAGAGATGTGCAGTGCACAGACCACTTAGGCTCCTCAGTTTCTGCCTCTGTTTTACTCACAGGCTAACTGAATTCAGTCCACTAAGGCTAGACTAACATTATACCATTAGTCACGTTTTAAGGTTTCTATCACATTCCTACACTGCACAGAGACATTGAGCTAAGCAGGTAGAACTGTGTACAACACCTTAGCATTTAGCAAAGGAGTGAGGGCAGACAGGGTTAGAGAGAAACACGTGTGACGGCCCCTCAACTTCATCTCAAGTGAGAAGCTGGGACCTATAGGGAGTGAGACTAAGCTCACATGACTTAAGGTTTTATGTGTGTCCTCAGTGCCTACCCCATGAGCAGAATCTCAGCCGGCAATGACAGTTACTTGTTAACTAGTGGATGAGCGAGGCTAGGGAGGTGCCTTCCTTGTAGCCAGACTCTAAAGAGAACTATTTCTTATCCAGAGTGATGATGGACTATAGCAGTATGTTCATACTGCAAACGGCTCCACTTAGTTCTAAGCCTGTGATTAGAAGAGGAATGATGGACTTGCCGGGGTGTGAGACATCCTGGTTCTTTATCTTGATTGCTTGTTACACATCTCTTTGTGAACACGTAGCCTTCTATGCCAATGATCTGTTACTTTTGTGTGTTAACTGTTGTAGAATATTACTTTAATGTGTGTGACTTTAGTTTATGTTGCATTTGTTTAACTCCGTGAAGCTGTGATTCTTGGCCTGTCTAAAACAACTGATGTTCTAATCAAGAGATGAATGGCCAGTGGCAAGGCAGACGAAAGGACAGGCGGGGCTGGCAGGCAGGCTGAGAGAATACATAGAAGGACAAATCTGGAGGGAGGATCAAGAGAGAATAAGGAGAGGAGGATGGCAGAGGCCAGCCCCCTCCCCCCCCACACACATACAGCAAGACGCAGAGTAAGAGGGAAAGTAAGGTACACAGAAGTGAGAAAAGGGAAAAGCCCAGAGGCAAAGTTAGTCAGAATAATATAAGTTAAAGAAAAGCTGGATACACCCAAATAGGAAAGAATATACCTTCTTTTCTGCAGCTCATGGAACCTTCTCAAAAATTGACCACATACTCGGTAACAAAGCAAACCTTCAGAGTTACAAAAGAATATTAGTAACCACCTGTGTATTATCAGATCACCATGGATTAAAGTAAGAATTCAACAACAATGCTACCCCCAGAAAGCCTACAAACTCATGGAAACTGAACAGTCAACTACTGAACCACACCTGGATCAAAGAAGAAATAAAGAAATTAAAGTCTTCCTTGAATTCAGTGAAAATAAAGAAACAACATACTCAAACCTATGGGACACTATGAAAGCAGTCCTAAGAGGAAAGCTCATAGCACTAAGTGCCCACTTAAAGAAGACGGAGAAAGCACATATTGGAGACTTAAGAGCCCACCTGAAAGCTTTAGAAAAAAAAGAAGCAGACTCACCTAGGAGGAGTAGAAGACTGGAAATAATCAAAATGAGGGCTGAAATCAGTAAAATAGAAACACAGAAAACAATCCAAAGAATCAAGGAAACAAAAAGCTGGTTTCTGGAGAAAATCAACAAGATTGATAAACCCCTATCCAAACTAATCAAACGGCAGAGAGAGAATTTGCAAATTAATAAGATCAGAAATGAAAAGGGGGACATAACCACAGACACAGAGGAAATTCAGAGAATCATTAGATCTTACTACAAAAGCCTGTATGCCACAAAACTGGAAAATGTAAAAGAAATGGACACTCTTTTAGATAAATACCACATACCAAAGTTAAACCAGGAGCAGGTGAACAATCTAAATAGACCTGTTAGTCGCGAGGAATTAGAAACTGTTATCAAAAATCTCCCTACCAAAAAAAGCCAAGGACCAGATGGTTTTAATGGAGAATACTACCAGAACCTCCAAGAAGACCTAATACCTATACTCCTTAATGTATTTCACAATATAGAAACAGAAGGGTCATTGCCAAATTCCTTTTATGAAGCTACAGTTACTCTGATACCAAAACCACAAAAGACTCAACCAAGAAAGAGAATTACAGGCTAATCTCACTCATGAACAACGATGCAAAAATCCTCAACAAAATACTGGCAAACTGAATCCAAGAACACATCCGAAAAATTATCCATTATGATCAAGTAGGCTTCATCCCAGGGATGCAGGGCTGGTTCAACATAGGAAAATCTATCAATGTAATCCATCATATAAATAAACTGAAAGAAAAAACCATATGATCATTTCATTAGATGCTGCAAAAGCTTTTGACAAAATTCAATATCCCTTTATGATAAAAGTCTTGGAAAGATCAGGGCTACAAGGGTCATACCTAAATGTATAAAAGCTATTTACAGCAGGCCGACAGCTAACATCAAATTAAATGGAGAGAAACTCAAAGCCATCCCACTAAAATCAGGAACAGGACAGGGCTGTCCAGACTCTCCATATCTCTTCAATATAGTGCTTGAGGTTCTAGCAATAGCAATAAGATAACATAAGGGGATCAAGGGGATACGAATTGGAAAGGAAGATGTTAAACTTTCGTTATTTGCAGATGATATGATAGTATACATAACCGACCCCAAAAACTCCACCAAAGAACTCCTACAGCTGATAAACAGCTTTAGTAATGTGGCAGGATACAAGATCAACTCCAAAAAATCAGTCGCCCTCCTATACACAAATGATAGGGAAGCAGAGAGGGAAATCAGTGAAGCATCACCTTTCACGATAGCCACAAACAGCATAAAATATCTTGGGGTTACTCTAACCAAGGAAGTGAAAGATCTATTTGACAAGAACTTTAAGTCTTTGAATAAAGAAATTGAAGAGGATACCAGAAAATGGAAGGATCTCCCTTGCTCTTGGGAGGATCAACATAGTAAAATTGGCAATTCTACCAAAGGCAATTTATAGATTCAATGCAATCCCCATCAAGGTCCCATCAAAATTCTTCACAGATCTTGAGAGGACAATAATCAAGTTTATATGGAAAAACAAAAAACCCAGGATAGCCAAAACAATCTTATACAATAAAGGATCATCTGGAGGCATTACCATCCCTGACTTCAAACTCTATTACAGAGCTACAGTAATGAAAACAGTGTGGTATTGGCATAAAAAGAGAAAAGTCGACCAATGGAATCATATAGAAGACCTGGATTTTAACCCACAAACCTATGAACACCTCATTTTTGATAAAGGAGCTAAAAGCATACAATGGAAGAAAGAAAGCATCTTCAACAAATGGTGCTGGCACAACTGGATGTCAACCTGTAGAAGAATGAAAATACACCCATATCTATCACTGTGCACAAAACTCAAGTCCAAATGGATCAGAGACCTCAATATCAATCTGAACACACTGAACTTGATAGAAGAGAAAGTGGGAAGTACCCTACAACAGATGGGCACAGGAGATCGCTTCCTATGTATAACCCCAGAAGCACAGACATTAAGGGCAACATTGAAGAAATGGGACCTCCTGAAACTGAGAAGCTTCTGTAAAGCAAAGGACACTGTCACTAAGACAAAAAGGCAACCTACTGACTGGGAGAAGATTTTCACCAACCCTGCAACAGACAAAGGTCTGATCTCCAAAATATATAAAGAACTCAAGAAGCTAGACTTTAAAATGCTAATTAACCCAATTAAAAAATGGGGCACGGAACTGAAGAGAGAATTCTCAACAGAAGAAGTTCAAATGGCCAAAAGACACTTAAGATCATGCTCTACCTCCTTAGCAATCAGGGAAATGCAAATCAAAACAACTTTGAGATATCATCTTACACCTGTCAGAATGGCTAAAATCAAAAACACCAATGATAGCCTTTGCTGGAGAGGCTGTGGAGGAAGGGGTACCCTCATCCATTGCTGGTGGGAAAGCAAACTTGTGCAACCACTTTGGAAAGCAGTGTGGCGGTTTCTCAGGAAATTCGGGATCAACCTACCCCTGGACCCAGCAATTCCACTCTTGGGAATATACCCAAGAGATACCCTATCATATGACAAAAGCATTTGTTCAACTATGCTCATAGCAGCATTATTTGTTATACCCAAAACCTGGAAAAAAACCTAGATACCCTTCAATAGAAGAATGGATGAAGAAAGTGTGAAATATATACACATTAGAGTACTACTCAGCGGTAAAAAACAATGACTTCTCAAATTTTGCATGCAAATGGATGGAAATAGAAAACACTATCCTGAGTGAGGTATCCCAGACCGAAAAAGAGGAACATGGGATGTACTCACTCTTAATTGGTTTCTAGCCACAAATAATGGTCATTGAGTCTATAATCTGTGATCCTAAAGAAGCTAAGTAAGAAGGTGAACCCAAAGAAAAACATATAGTTGTTATGCTGGGTATGGGAAGTAGACAAGATTGCCGGGCAAAAAATTGGGAACTTGGGGGTGGGTTGGGAGTGGACTAAGGGGAGATGGGGAGAGAAAAGTAAGAAGGGGATAATGGGGGGGGGGACTTGGGGAAACGGGATGATTGGGAGAAAGGAAGGTTGGATAGAGGAGCAGGGAATCACATAACTTAATTAAGGGAGCCATCTTAGGGTTGGCAAGAGACTTGAACCAAGAGGGGCTCCCAGGTGCCCAGGGCGATGTCCCCATTTAGCTCTTTGGCCAGCTGAGGATAGGGAACCTGAAATGACCCTATCCTATAGCCATACTGATGAATATCTTGCATATCACCATAGAACCTTCATCTGGCGATGGTTGGAGATAGAGACAGAGACCCACACTGGAGCATCGGACTGAGCTCCCAAGGTCCCAATGAAGAGCAGAAGGAGGGAGAACATGAGCAAGGAAGTCAGGACCATGAGAGGTGCACCCACCCACTGAGACAGTGGGGCTGATCTATTGGGAGCTCACCAAGGCCAGCTGGACAGTGACTGAAAAGGCATGGGATAAAACCGGACTCTTTGAACATGGCAGACAATGAGGGCTGAAGAGAAGCCAAAGACAATGGCACTGGGTTTTGATCCTACTTCATGTTCTGGCTTTGTGGGAGCCTAGCCAGTATGGATGTTCACCTTCCTAGACCTGGATGGAGGGGGAAGGACCTTGGACTTTCCACAGAGCAGGGAATCCTGACTGCTCTTCGAATTGGAGAGGGAGGGGGAGAGGAATGGGGGGAGCAGGAGAGGAGTGGGAGGGAAATGGGAGGCTGGGAGGAGGCGGAAATTTCTTTTTTTTTCTTTCAATAAAAAAAAAAGAAAAGCTGGATAGAGACAAGATAAGGTTGGGATTTTATAAGTAATAATAAGCCTCTGTGTGTGTATTTATTTGGGAGCTGGATGGTGGGCTCCCAAAAGAGCTAGCATAAAAAGAGTAGAAGACAACCAATTACATTTTACTTTGATAAATCATTAAAAAATTTCAGCTGTTATCATCTACCAAAATAATTTATTTCATCTTCTATAAACATCTGTTTCTGTTTAAAATGCTGTCATAGGAGGAAAAGCCCCGATAGAGCTACATACTAGCATTTAGAGAGGGACAAGAGCTGAGGTGTGACCGGAAGGAGTCACTGGGTCTTCACAGCCACAGAGCTACAAAGGTCAGAACCTCTGTAATAGGTAGGTGAGAGGAGACCCCTCCCCACCAAACAAAACTAAGCCATTTAGTTTATCAGTTCATTTGAATCCAAAGCGTATGGAGTCTGACATTCTAGTGATGGTTGAATTTATCCCTCTAACGAGTCCCTTGTATGTGTGGTAAACACACTAGTCACACACATGACCACTGACTTCAGAATGACTGCAGCCTTGAGCAAGTGGGCTTCTCTCCTCATCTGGGAAAATCATCTCCTGATTTTTATGATTTTTGAATCACAATGTTATTAGTATTTGCGTGTGTTTGTGTGCATGTGTGAAATACACATGCATGAGTGTAGGAATGTTCATTCTACAGCACACATGTAGAGAACACAGAAGAGCGGCGCTCAGGAGCTGATTCTATCTTTCCACTGTGGGATCCAGAGATGAAACGGAAGTCGTCAGGATTGTGAGGTGAGCACTTTCACCCGTGTTCTGTGACTTCTTGTGAGAAGATGCACGCACCCACCCCACACTGTGCAGACATTTGCGGGCATTCACAACTTTTCTCACAGACCCCTGGACTCACTAACCACTAGCCTCATGAATGACATCTAATTTTGGCAGACCCTACCTATCTATGTTTCTCTGAAGAGGGCAGGACAGGGAGGAGCCATTGAGAACACTTGGACCAGTCAAAGCAGCAGGAAGACAGTGACTGATGGAGATGCATGAGGAGATGCTGACACATTACTAACACGTGATAAGATGGGGTGAAGTTTCTGCATCGGTTTCCCCAAGTCACTTTCAAAGACCGGCCAAGGGCGAGGGGAATGTGGCCTGTGTCCTCTGCTCTGGAATAAACACTCGCTCTTATAACTTCTGTTCCTAAGTTCTGCTGGAGCTGGTGCCTGTGCTGAATCTTACCACCAGGAAGAGAAAAAAAGAAACTGAATTTCAGTCTAGCACAAAACACGTACCTTGCTGTTCAGCTGCTCAGTTCTTAATTCTTTCTGGTGAATTTCGTTTAAGCTGTTATTAAGCTGAGCCCTGAGAAGTTCTGTCTCAAGGTTTTGTGAGCCATCGACGGAGACTGATGTTTCTGGGGATGCTTGCCAGGAAACAAACATCCGTGGCATTGTCTCCTCAGACAGTTCATACTTAACTCCTCCCCCTAGAAGAAATCATGCCCACTGTAGAAGTTGCAGATGGGCAGTTACTTATAGGAGGAGGATGTTTTTCTGGATCATGGCACCCTGCGCAAACCACATGATCTCCTCACCTGTCTTTGGTACTGTGCAGAGAGAATCTGGCTTTGTGAGGAAGACCACAGGAGACTCTGCAGATGACTGAGCTGCTTATCTTTATCTTTGATGGCCATAGTGTACTGTTCCTTTATCCGCTTCTCCTGAAGTTTCCAGGTATTTTTTTCCATTCTACACCATGAAAAAAATGGCTCAAATATACTCATGGTGCAAAGAAGAAAAATTCTATATTCCAAACATTGTTTTTTTTTATTTTTTTTCCATTTTTTTTATTGAGAAAAGGAGAAAAAAAAAACAAGTTTCCACCTCCTTCCAGCCTCCCATTTCCCTCCCCCTCCTCCCACCCTTCTCCCCCTCCTCCCACCCTTCCCCCCTCCACCCACTCCTCTCCCCATCCCTCTCCAGTCCAAAGAGCAGTCAGGGTTCCTTTCTTAGGCAACGTTAGCAATGTAGCAAAACTAATACATATCAGAGTAAAATTTATTTTGCAAGTGGAAGCACCCAGTAAGGGGTGAAAGCGGGCTGTGACTGGACTGGAGGAGGAGCTCCTATTGGCAGGACTGGAGGAGGAGCTCCTATTGGCAGGACTGGAGGACCTTCATAGAAAAGCCGCCATTGGATTTGGATCCTGAGCAAAGAGCTAGGTTTCCAAACGGGAAACACAATTCAAAATTGGCAAGAAAACTCAGCAGAATGAATGCAGAGTGATGTCCAGAACTGCAGGAGTCAGTGTGTACAACAGTGAGTACGGTTGTGGATGGCGAGACCAGGGAGTCAGTGTGTACAACAGTATGTACGGATGTGGATGGCTAGACCAGGGAGTCAGTGTGTACAACAGTATGTACGGATGTGGATGGTGAGACCAGGGAGTCATTGTGTACAACAGTATGTACGGATGTGGATGGTGAGACCAGGGAGTCAACGTGTACAACAGTATGTACGGATGTGGATGGCGAGACCAGGGAGTCAGTGTGTACAACAGTATGTACGGATGTGGATGGCTAGACCAGGGAGTTAGTGTGTACAACAGTATGTACGGATGTGGATGGTGAGACCAGGGAGTCAGTGTGCACAACAGTATGTACGGATGTGGATGGTGAGACCAGGGATTCAACGTGTACAACAGTATGTACGGATGTGGATGGCGAGACCAGGGAGTCAGTGTGTACAACAGTATGTACGGATGTGGATGGCTAGACCAGGGAGTCAGTGTGTACAACAGTATGTACGGATGTAGATGGTGAGACCAGGGAGTCAGTGTGTACAACAGTATGTACGGATGTGGATGGCTAGACCAGGGAGTCAGTGTGTACAACAGTATGTACGGATGTGGATGGTGAGACCAGGGAGTCAGTGTGCACAACAGTATGTACGGATGTGGATGGTGAGACCAGGGATTCAACGTGTACAACAGTATGTACGGATGTGGATGGCTAGACCAGGGAGTCAGTGTGTACAACAGTATGTACGGATGTGGATGGTGAGACCAGGGAGTCATTGTGTACAACAGTATGTACGGATGTGGATGGTGAGACCAGGGAGTCAACGTGTACAACAGTATGTACGCATGTGGATGGCGAGACCAGGGAGTCAGTGTGTACAACAGTATGTACGGATGTGGATGGCTAGACCAGGGAGTCAGTGTGTACAACAGTATGTACGGATGTGGATGGTGAGACCAGGGAGTCAGTGTGCACAACAGTATGTACGGATGTGGATGGCGAGACCAGGGAGTCAGTGTGTACAACAGTATGTACGGATGTGGATGGCTAGACCAGGGAGTCAGTGTGTACAACAGTATGTACGGATGTAGATGGTGAGACCAGGGAGTCAGTGTGTACAACAGTATGTACGGATGTGGATGGCTAGACCAGGGAGTCAGTGTGTACAACAGTATGTACGGATGTGGATGGTGAGACCAGGGAGTCAGTGTGCACAACAGTATGTACGGATGTGGATGGTGAGACCAGGGATTCAACGTGTACAACAGTATGTACGGATGTGGATGGCGAGACCAGGGAGTCAGTGTGTACAACAGTATGTACGGATGTGGATGGCTAGACCAGGGAGTCAGTGTGTACAACAGTATGTACGGATGTGGATGGCTAGACCAGGGAGTCAGTGTGTACAACAGTATGTACCGATGTGGATGGCGAGACCAGGGAGTCAGTGTGTACAACAGTATGTACGGATGTGGATGGCTAGACCAGGGAGTCAGTGTGTACAACAGTATGTACGGATGTGGATGGTGAGACCAGGGAGTCAGTGTGCACAACAGTATGTACGGATGTGGATGGTGAGACCAGGGATTCAACGTGTACAACAGTATGTACGGATGTGGATGGCGAGACCAGGGAGTCAGTGTGTACAACAGTATGTACGGATGTGGATGGCTAGACCAGGGAGTCAGTGTGTACAACAGTATGTACGGATGTGGATGGCTAGACCAGGGAGTCAGTGTGTACAACAGTATGTACCGATGTGGATGGCGAGACCAGGGAGTCAGTGTGTACAACAGTATGTACGGATGTGGATGGCTAGACCAGGGAGTCAGTGTGTACAACAGTATGTACGGATGTGGATGGCGAGACCAGGGAGTCAGTGTGTACAACAGTATGTACGGATGTGGATGGCGAGACCAGGGAGTCAGTGTGTACAACAGTATGTACGGATGTGGATGGCTAGACCAGGGAGTCAGTGTGTACAACAGTATGTACGGATGTGGATGGCGAGACCAGGGAGTCAGTGTGTACAACAGTATGTACGGATGTGGATGGCGAGACCAGGGAGTCAGTGTGTACAACAGTATGTAAGGATGTGGATGGCGAGACCAGGGAGTCAGTGTGTACAACAGTATGCACGGATGTGGATGGCGAGACCAGGGAGTCAGTGTGTACAACAGTATGTAAGGATGTGGATGGCTAGACCAGGGAGTCAGTGTGTACAACAGTATGTACGGATGTGGATGGCTAGACCAGGGAGTCAGTGTGTACAACAGTATGTACGGATGTGGATGGCGAGACCAGGGAGTCAGTGTGTACAACAGTATGTACGGATGTGGATGGTGAGACCAGGGAGTCAGTGTGTACAACAGTATGTACGGATGTGGATGGCGAGACCAGGGAGTCAGTGTGTACAACAGTATGTACCGATGTGGATGGCGAGACCAGGGAGTCAGTGTGTACAACAGTATGTACGGATGTGGATGGCGAGACCAGGGAGTCAGTGTGTACAACAGTATGTAAGGATGTGGATGGCTAGACCAGGGAGTCAGTGTGTACAACAGTATGTACGGATGTGGATGGCTAGACCAGGGAGTCAGTGTGTACAACAGTATGTACGGATGTGGATGGTGAGACCAGGGAGTCATTGTGTACAACAGTATGTACGGATGTGGATGGTGAGACCAGGGAGTCAACGTGTACAACAGTATGTACGGATGTGGATGGCGAGACCAGGGAGTCAGTGTGTACAACAGTATGTAAGGATGTGGATGGCGAGACCAGGGAGTCAGTGTGTACAACAGTATGTACGGATGTGGATGGCGAGACCAGGGAGTCAGTGTGTACAACAGTATGTACGGATGTGGATGGCTAGACCAGGGAGTCAGTGTGTACAACAGTATGTACGGATGTGGATGGCGAGACCAGGGAGTCAGTGTGTACAACAACACATACGGAATGTTGATGGCAGGACTAGGTAGGGCACTGGAAACCACCACAGTCCTTCATCGGCGTCATGCCCCCATTGCAGAATCAACACCAGGGTTGACTCTCAAGGACTTAGAACTTTGGTTCTTGCATATATTAGGTATGAGAACTGAGCAAATGCTAGTCTTGCCAAGTTCCTTCAATAAACTAGGAATAAGCTAGTTATTTCTTAGGACTATTGAAAGATTAAATGAGACACCACACATCACTCATCAAACACGAAGCCTGGCACATGTAAAATATCAAATAATAGGCATTAGTTGTTATTTACTTATTTTCTTGAATTTGGTAAAGAGTGGAGTTTCTAATGAACACCAGCTATTTTTTTGGTATGCATAAAAGAAGCTGCGTGTGACATGTATCATGTCACATAGGATGCTGGGTGTGACAGGTACATGTCACATAGGATGCTGAGTGCCAAAGGTACATATCACATAGGATGCTGGTGTGACATATATCAAGTCACATAGGATGCTGGGTGTGACAGGTACACATCACATAGGATCCTGGGTGTGACATGTTCATGTCACATAGGAAGCTGGGTGTGACGGGTACATGTCACATAGGATGCTGGGTGTGACGTGTACATGTCACATAGGATGCTGGGTGTGACGGGTACATGTCACATAGGATGCTGGGTGTGACGGGTACATCTCACATAGGATGCTGGGTGTGACGGGTACATGTCACATAGGATGCTGGGTGTGACGGGTACATGTCACATAGGATGCTGGGTGTGACGGGTACATGTCACATAGGATGCTGAGTGTGACGGGTACATGTCACATAGGATGCTAGGTGTGGCATGTAACACGTCACATAGGATGCTGGGTATGACAGGTACATGCCATATAGGATGCTTTCACTGAAGGAAGCTAAGTGAAGTGTACATACATGCTCTCTCACTGTTTCCTCAGTATTCTATAAAGCAGCAACTATTTCAAAATAAAGTGTTAAAATAATAATAGTAAAGGGTCAAAATGCAGATGCAGGAATCATCCTACCTGAGCTGATGTAGCTCTTGCTGCCAGGCCAGGCTTTCCCGCCTAAGTTCCTCCTGCATCATCTGCATGGTTTCTGCCTGCTCTTGATACTCCTGGAGCTGAGCCTTCAGTGGCAGTAGCTCAATGACCTCCCGATTCCTCAGTAAGTACTGCTGCTGCAGGGTCTTCAGTTCCTCCAGCTTTAACCAGAGGGAACAAAGGGTGACTTCCCATTCCTTACTGACCAGTCGCTCTTGCCACACAGGCACCACAGACTGTGAGCACCTTCCCACAGTCCACAGACAGCCAAGGAGCTGCCATCAAGGCTCCAGGGCCTAACCATCCCTTCCATTCTACCCCATAGCCCCACCTCTGAGGTCCAGAGCTTCGACTTTGACCCGAGACAGACTTATGGGACCTACAGGTTATTGTGAAGGGGGATGTAAAGAGTGGCTTCCCACTTACACATGTGCCCGCCATAAACTTCTGTATTTATACATGAACACCAGCCATTTTCCTTGTTGGTGCTGTTGTTGTTGTTGACTTGTTTATCTTGTCTTTGTTTCTCAATTCTCGGGCAGAACTCAGGCACACAGGCAAGGGCTCTATCACTAAGCCAATCTCAGCTGGACTCCAGCCTTAACTCAAGCTGAGCTGATATCCACTATTATAAAGAAGGTGCACACCCTACCATTAAGGACACTTGGGCTCTAGAATTGGATACCCTGTTTCTTGGATGAGAGTTGATCTAAGTCTTTGTTTCCCTCACCTATTAAATGAAGATAATCAGCACTTTTCCTCATACAAACATGAGAATTAAATAAGAAAACAATGCGTCTCAAACACAAGGTTAATGGATGTTAGGATGGACTCACCTTTAGAAAACTGCGATCCGTTTAAAACTCTTTCCCAATACCCACTAAGAGCTTGATGCAGAAATGACGTCAGGACACCTGGGTAGACAACAGCCTTCAACACACACCTTCCACCCACTCACAAACATTAATGCTATCGTACCAGTAGCTCTTTAAAAAGCAGCAAACACAAGAGCGGGAAGACAACAAAGGACAGCAGCAACACACACTTGAGGCCCAGAAGCAGATGACACATTAGCCGGGGAAACCACAGGCGCTGAGACAGGTGAGAATGCTGGCAATCAGATCATTATAGCATCAATAAAGAATTACCAAGAGAAACTCACCAAAAGAAGCAACCAGTCAGGTGTGGAGGCACATACCTGTAACCCTGGCCTTTGCGAGACTGGTGCATGAAGATGTGAATTTGGGGGCAGCCTGGACCACACTGAACGCTCTAGGCAAGCTTCAGTTATATAATAAGACCTTGTCTCAATAGCAAAATGGGAGGTGGAGAAGTAGTTCAGCAGTTAAGAGCCCTCACTGCTCTTCCAGAGGACCCCAGTTCAATCCCCATGTTGGGCAATTCAAAATTGCCTGTAATTCCAGCGCCCTCTCCTGGCCTCCACAGGCACCTGCACATGTCATACACTCACAGTAGAATTAACAACAAAGCAAAATACCACCATTCTTGGAAAGGTAAGTTAGAAAATTTACCCGTGAAACAAGAAAAAAAATACATAAAACAACGAGAAAAGAGAAATTTCTTTCAAATTAAGAAGCAGGGCTGGAGAGATGGCTCAGTGGTTAAGAGTACTGTCTGCTATCCCAGAGGAATTTGGCTGGGGTCAATTCTAGCACCCACATGATGGTAATAACTGTTACCACAGTCTGAGGACATCCAAGACCACCAGGTATGCATGTGTTACACAGACACACATGCAGACAAAATAGCTAACTATACATCGTTAACAACACCAAGAACAAAGAACACCAACAACAAGGTGACAAAAACAAAATTATCAAACGGGGTCAAAAGATAGGGCCGAGAGCATAGGCACTTGTGTGCAGGCAGCGCGAGTCAAACGGGATGACAAGCACTTTGGAAGTAAGAAGGCAAAACAGAAGCAAGCAACTGGGAAGTGTGGCAGGAGAATCTGAGATCTGGAGTGGCCCCCAAAAGGAAGCAACGAGGAATACATTCCCACCAATAAGATGGTGATGTGGGTAGAAGGTCCTCAGGGCCATCACTGTTTGCTGAAGAGCTGGGTCTGATGGCCTGCAGGCTTAAGATCAAGTAAAGGGCTGAAAAGATGAGGACAAATAATCAGGTCTTGCATGGCAGATCAAGGGAGGGATCCTAAGCTTCTCCCAGACAATCGTGAACCTTTTAAAGGTTCCTAAGCAGGCAGTTATACGAACGGGAGAGTTTGGGAATGACTTGTACACAAGCATATTTATTCTCTGCTGGAGAGGTTATGCGATGGGAGCACTGGTGTCAGAACTGCTGAAGGGAAAGAAGCTTCTCGTGGGTGTGAGAAGAAGGTGAAAGGATGGACATTTGAGCGCATTCAGAACAGAATAAAATACCTTGCTCATTAGGTGATAAAAACCAGAGTGACAGCTTCAAGAAACACTATCACAGCACGTTACAGAAGCAGAGGAACGGCTTCTTAAAAGACTTGTCTCATCAATATTCAGTGGACAGAAAGTGTGCAATAGTGCCGAGAGAACAAAGCAGTGCCAGGGTTTCCAATGCATAAACTCAGAGTGCACGGTCCCTGGATGAAGCAGAGCTGACTTGGAATCGGCTGGAACCACCCAGGACAAGGATTCTGACTCAGAACAGAGTGAATCCCAGCATGACATAAGCTACTGCTTTTAGGCATAAACATGTATAAGCATATGCATGTTCATGTGGGTGCAGGCACATGTGTGTATAAGGGCTGAGTCAGCCTGGGTGCCAGGGGACAACTTTGAGTCTATTCCTCTGGTGCCATACAGCTTTCCCCCCAATTGTGTCTTCTTTCAGCAAACAGCGCCAAGCCTGACACTAGTGAGACTTTGGGCTCCCACGATGACATCAGTGACCACCTCCAGCAGCTTGAGCAACTCAAGGGAAGAATTGCTGAGTTAGAGATGGAGAAACAGAGTGACAGGGGGCTTAGCCAGACACTAGAAAATGAGAAAAATGCCCTCCTGAGTCAAATATCGGCAAAGGATGGCGGACTAAAACTACGTGAGGAATCTTCAAGTTTAACGCTCACACTCTGAGTATCTTGCTCTTGCGATTTGCCTGCCAGAGCTTGTGTTTCTTGTTCAGTGATGCCATCCGTTTGTTGAGGGAATTTCTCAGTGGCCTCTAGGCTAGCTTGTTTTAGTACACTATCTTCTCCCTGAAGCTCCAGATCTTCTCTCAGAAGGTTTTTCTTTGCCATTAAAGCCTCAAAATCCTTAGAAAGGGTTTTATTCTCTAACTTTACCCTTTCTAGTTCCTCCTTCAGGCTGGAATTCTTTTGGAATTCCTCCAAAAGAAGGAATGACATTCAAAGTTGTTCTCTGGCCATCACACACATTCTAAGTACACACAATGTGAGTTAGTACAGGGTAAGCTCAAATACAAGAAAGTCAATTTTCAATGCACCTTAAAAAATACAGATTTAATAAAAGAATGTGCCTTTGAAATCTCTTTTTACCTCTTTTATTTTTTTTTAAATACAAAACTGACTTCATCTATTTGAAGTTTTGGATCAGGGTTAGGACATGAATGGTCGCAGTAAATCTGCAAATGAGAAAGAAACCAGCCCATTGCTGACTCCCACAAGTCCTCAGGAAGTTCCGACCTGATGAGATAAGGAAAAAGGGAAAGTATGGACAAGACAGAAAATGATGTGCAACGAAAGAGAGGACACCAATAAGAAGCCAAGGAATACATGGAGGATGTGTGGAGCGCAGCAGGGAAGGGCAGGGCTTGGAAAGTGGCTGAGAGGTCTGGATTAACTGTTAACCAAAACAAGAGTCATTCCATGGAGTGTGAGCAACACACCTGCTGCATCTCTGTCTCCACATCTGCCTGGGTTACTAACGGAAGCAGCTCATCTTCATGGAGGCGGACCTGGGTTTCAAAGCGGGCGTCTTTTTCTTGGACCATCTGCTGCATGGAACTCAACTGAAGACACATGCCAGAGAAGCTAGACAAGGTACGCTCCAGAGTAGCTCAGAGACAATTCTTTCAGCCTAACCTCCAAAGATGGGCACACAGCACCGACGGACAGTGCTTCTCTAAACATCAGCTCTGAGGGGCAAGGGTGAGAATGTCAGAAGAACAAGAGGCCCAGCAGTAACTTCCAGACAAGAATGAAAGCCTACTATCAAACTCCAATCAACTCATATATAACTTTAATTAAAAAAATCTTCATTGACACTAAAAATGTTATAAATATGGGAGAAGATATTTTTTAATTCTGAAATGATTAGAAAATTAAACATACAAGTGAAGTTAAATTTCTGTTAGCTCCTTCAGTACCAGACTCATGCTCAAAAATGGTCCTGGACCCTCACTCCTATAAATTAGCAGTTCAAGCCATGGACATTATTCGAAATGTTCTACAAATAGAAATACAAGGCTAGTCTATCTTGTGTGGTTATCTGTTTGTGTTTTCGAGGGCACACCACCTCCCCAGAGAGCCATGTCCAGCTGTCACTCCTGCAGGCTGTTCTCTTTAATGCATTCTCTCTGTCTTTCCCAAATCTTCCCCACAAGAACGCAGCTTGTCTAGAGTGTTGCCTAGCTCCCAGGATTCCTCTCTGTCTTCCCCACAAGAACATAGCTTATCTGGAGAGTTAGCAAGCTCTCAGGGTTCTGTTTAAATCCCATCTTTTTTTCCTCTATGTTTCTATAACTACCATGTTCACAAAATACTTTAAAGCTGGGGCTACATTTATCAATTTTATTTTTTGAGATAGGTCTTCCTGTATAGCCTGGCCTAGCTTGGAACTTGTCATGCAGCCAACACTGGTGTGAAACCCATAATCTGTACACATCAGTCTTCTGCATGCTAGGGCAATGACTTTTGTTAACACACTTAGCCTTTGGTATTTTGTTTGGAGTGACTTGCTCCACAATGGAACTGTTACCATATTCATATGTCTTCGCTGCCTTTGTTTTAAGTAGCTTAAAAGAAAACAATCCAAAGAATCAATGAATCAAAGAGCTGGTTCCTGGAGAAAATCAACAAGATTGACAAACCCCTATCCAAACTAGTCAAATGGCAGAGAGAAAATTTGCAAATTAATAAGATCAGAAATGAAAAGGGGGACATAACCACAAACACAGAGGAAATTCAGAGAGTCATTAGATCTTACTACAAAAGCCTGTATGCAACAAAACTGGAAAATGTAAAAGAAATGGACACTTTTTTAGATAAATACCATTTACCAAAATTAAACCAGGACCAGGTGAACAATCTAAACACAGCTGTCAGTCGCGAAGAATTAGAAGCTGTTATCAAAAACCTCCCTACCAAAAAAAAGCCCAGGGCCAGATGGTTTCAATGCGGAATTCTACCAGAACATCCAAGAAGACCTAATACCTATACTCCTCAATGTATTCCACAATATAGAAACAGAAGGGTCATTACCAAATTCCTTTTATGAAGCTACAGTTACTCTGATACCAAAACCACACAAAGACTCAACCAGGAAAGAGAATTACAGGCCAATCTCACTCATGAATATCGACGCAAAAATCTTCAACAAAATACTGGCCAACTGAATCCATGAACACATTAGAAAAATTATCCATTATGATCAAGTAGGCTTCATTCCTGAGATGCTGGGCTGGTTCAACATACGAAAATCTATCAATGTAATCCAGCATATAAATAAACTGAAAGAAAAAAAAACATATGATCATTTCATTAGATGCTGAAAAAGCATTTGACAAAATTCAACACCCCTTTATGTTAAAATTCTTGGAGAGATTAGGGATACAAGGGTCATACCTAAATATAATAAAAGCTATATACAGCAAGTCGACAGCTAACATCAAATTAAACGGAGAGAAACTCAAAGCCATCCCGCTTAACTCAGGAACACGACAAGGCTGTCCACTCTCGCCATACCTCTTCAATATAGTGCTTGAAGTTCTAGCAATAGCAATAAGACAACATAATGGGATCAAGGGGATTCGAATTGGAAAGGAAGACGTTAAACTTTCCTTATTTGCAGATGATATGACAGTGTACATAACCGACCCCCAAAACTCCACCAAAGAACTTTTACAGCTGATAAACACCTTTAGTAATGTGGCAGGATAAAAGATCAACTCCAAAAAATCAGTCGCCCTCTTATACACAAAGGATATGGAAGCAGAGAGGGAAATCAGAGATGCTTCTCCATTCACGATAGCCACAAACAGCATGAAATATCTTGGGGTAAATCTAACCAAGGAAGTGAAAGATCTATTTGACAAGAACTTTAAGGCATTGAAGAAAGAATTGAAGAGGATACCAAAAAATGGATGGACATCCCTTGCTCTTGGATTGGGAGGATCAACCAAAGGCAATTTATAGATTCAATGCAATCCCCAACAAGGTCCCATCAAAATTCTTCACAGATCTGGAGAGGACAATAATCAACTTTATATGGAAAAAAAAAACCCAGGATAGCCAAAACAATCTTATACAATAAAGGATCATCTGGAGGCATTACCATCCCTGACTTCAAACTCTATTACAGAGCTACAGTAACGAAAACATTGTGGTACTGGCATAAAAACAGAGAAGTCGACCAATGGAATCGTACAGAAGACCCGGATTTTATCCCATAAACCTATGAACACCTCATTTTTGATAAAGGAGCTAAAAGTATACAATGGAAGAAAGAAAGCATCTTCAACAAATGGTGCTGGCACAACTGGATGTCATCTTGTAGAAGAATGAAAATACACCCATATCTATCACCGTGCACAAAACTCAAGTCCAAATGGATTAAAGACCTCAATATCAGCCCAAACACACTGAACCTGATAGAAGAGAAAGTGGGAAGTACCCTACAGGAGATGGGCACAGGAGATCGCTTCCTATGTATAACCCCAGAAGCACAGACATTAAGGGCAACATTGAATAAATGGGACCTACTTAAACTGAGAAGCTTCTGTAAAGCAAAGGACACTGTCACCAAGACACAAAGGCAACCTACTGACTCGGAGAAGATCGTCACCAACGCTGCAACAGACAAAGGTCTGATCTCCAAAATATATAGAGAACTCAAGAAACTAGACTTTAAAATGCTAATTAAACCAAATAAAAAATGGGGCACTGAACTGAACAGAGAATTCTCAAAAGAAGAAGTTCAAATGGCCAAAAGACACTTGAGGTCGTGTTCAACTTCCTTAGCAATCAGGGAAATGCAAATCAAAACAACTTTGAGATATCATCTTACACCTGTCAGAACGGCTAAAGTCAAAAACACCAAGGATAGCCTTTGCTGGAGAGGATGTGGAGGAAGGGGTACCCTCATCCATTGCTGGTGGGAATGCAATCTTGTGCAACCACTGTGGATGTCAGTGTTTCGGTTTCTCAGGAAATTCGGGATCAACCTACCCCTGGAATTAGCAATACCACACTTGGGAATATACCCAAGAGATGCTCTATCATATGACAAAAGCATTTGTTCAACTATGTTCATAGCAGTATTATTTGTAATAGCCAGAACCTGGAAACAACCTAGATGCCCTTCAATGGAAGAATGGAAGAAGAAAGTATGGAATATATATACAGTAGAGTACTATGCTGCGGTAAAAAACAATGACTTCTCGAATTTTGCATGTAAATGGATTGAAATAGAAAACACTATCCTGAGTGAGGTATCCCAGACCCAAAAAGGGGAACATGGGAAGAACTCACTCATAATTGGTTTCTAACCAAAAATAGGGGTCACGGAGTCTACAATAGGTGAACCTAAAGAAGCTAACTAAGAAGGTGAACCCAAGGAAAAATATATGGTTATCCTCTTGGCTATGGGAAGTAGACAAAATTGCCGGGGAAAAAATTGGGATCTTGGCGGTGGGGTGGGATGGGGGTAAGGGGAGATGGGGAGAGAAAAGGTAGAAGGGAAGGAGGGGGGGACATAGGGAAACAGGAGGATTGGGATAAAGTAAGGTTGGATAGGGGAGCACGGAAGCACAATTCTTAGTTAAGGGAGCCACTTTAGGTTGGGCAAGAGACCTGACCCTAGAGGGGCTCCCAGGTGCCCAAGCTGAGGTCCCCAGTTCATTCCTTGGGCAGCTGAGGATAGGGATCCTGAAATGACCCTATCCTAGAGCAATACTGACGAATATCTTGCATATCATCATAGAACCTTCATCTGGTGATGGATGGAGATAGAGACAGAGACCCACACTGGAGCACTGGACTGAGCTCCCAAGGTCCCAATGAGGAGCAGAAGGAGGGAGAACATAAGCAAAGAAGTCGGGACCACGAGGGGTGCACCCACCCATTGAGACAGTGGAGCTGATCTACTGGGAGCTCACCAAGGCCAGCTGGACTGTCACCGAAAAAGCATGGGATAAAACTGGACTCTCTGAACATGGCGAACAATGAGGGCTGATGAGACGCCAAGGACAATGGCACGGGGTTTTGATCCTACTTAATGTGCTGGCTGTGTGGGAGCCTAGCCAGTTTGGATGTTCACCTTCCTAGATATGGACGGAGGGGGGAGGACCTAGGACTTACCACAGGGCAGGGAAACCTGACTGCTCTTTGGACTGGAGAGGGAGGGAGAGAGGAGTGAGGGGAGGGGGAGAAAGATGGGAAGAGAGGGAGAAGAGTGCGAGGAGGGGGAGGGAAATGGGAGGCTGGTAAGAGGTGGAAATTTGTTTTTATTCTCCTTTTATCATTAAAAGAAAAGAATAAAAAATGTGTAAAATTTCCCTATTCTACAATATATATGAAGCATGAAAGCTTCAATAGAAGTTAATAGGATCAGTTTATCAATTTCTGGGTATAAAACTCTCTGTGTTCAACTGTCAGCCATCACTACATGGAAGACTCCTCTATTACCAATACGTCTGATGGCTAAGATCAGCTGCGTGTTGTGTGCAAAGACCTCCAGGGATGAAAATACAGCATGGCACAAAAGCATCCTCAAAGGAGAATTACGAAAAACTGAGAAAAACAGATCAGAGGGAGCCCGCGCAAAAAGGGTGGCTCTGCCTTGAGAATGACCAAGAAGAAGAACGCTGCATAATAGAGTCATTAGCAATGAGCATTACAACCTCTCCAATTCTTTAGTCTATGTTCAAAAAGTAGCTTCTTCTGCCACACCCTTCTAGGCTTGGCTTTAATATCCTAGCTACCATACTTGCATTTACCAAGATTTTGAAGTGACTGCAGGGGCTGACTTGCCACCTGTACCATTCTGGACCCCAGGGATACTATCCTAATGGAGGCGCCATCATCCTACCTGTGCATCTTGCTCTTCTTGTGTCTGCCTAAGCTCAGCACGCAAAGTACTAATGAGTTCTTCCTTTTCTTGAAGATGCTGCTTCATCAGGCTGAAATCCTCCATCTCAACCAAATTCTTATGCAACTGAAGGGGAAAAATATTTACTTAAACAATGGAATTGGCAACTTTTAGTTCTTTTGACTTTCTCATTTGCCTTGAATACCTACCCTATTTTTTTCTAATTTCCACGTTAATGCAAAAAGAATTTTATTTGCTAATTTATAAAGTATCATTGAATTGCCAAACTTTTCAGAAGAAGACAGAAGCAATAGCAATATGCTTTTCAATTTCTTTGAAAGCTAACATAGCAAAGAGACAGACCAAATAGACAGTGAGCAGAAAAACATGGAAAACAGTAACAATATGTAAAAACATTCCTATAAACCTTGCAAAAAACAAGTTAAGGAAAAACCAGAAAAATTGGGATTTTCTTGGCATTAGTGACTATAAAATAATAATGATAAAAAAAGACAGCAATAGAGCTACATCTGATGTTCCTGTGGAATAGGGAAAAATCCAAGGTACCAAAGAAGTATTTGCAGGAATAGGTGGCAGCTAGAATTAGAAGAGATGCAACACTTCCTGTTCTTTGATCACGGGTAAATGCAGGCTTTCCACGGGGGGGGGGGGGGGAATCCAAATGCGATCTGTATTGAGGTTTAGGAATGGTTCAGTGGCAACTAGCACTTGCTGCTCTTGTGAAAAGATCCAGGTTCCATCACAGCACCCACGCTATCTGTAACTCCAGTTCCAGGGGATCTGATGTCCTCGTCTGACCTCTGGGGGTATGTAGTGCATATACATACATGTAAGCAAAAACATTCACACAAAAGATGCATGAACAATTACATAATATCATTCAAAAGTCAGGCATGGTGGCTCATGCCTATAATACCAGCACTCAAGAGGCTGAGACAGGAGGACTGCCACAAGTTCAAGGTAAAACTGGGCTACATTGTGAGACCTTCCTTCAAAAACAACAACAATAATCACGAAGAATAAGGAGAAGAAAAATATGCTGAAAGACACTGTAACTTATTTCATCGTTAAACATGTTTAAGAAAAATATAGAGGACATGAAAGGAAATTAGAGTTAGAAAAGTTTGAAAAATTAATAAAATTCATGAAGTTGATGTAAAAGAAAACTCGTGTCAGAAGAGAAAGCCAAGCACAAAACAGAATGCCTTGAGTAAAAAAGGAAAAGGATAAATCAAAAAAATATTAATCACAATTGGTAAAAAAAAATACACAACCAAAAGTAAAGGTTAACAGAAACCTGCAAGGAAAAAAATGAAAGCATCGGAGCTGACCGAATGCTATGCATCATGTAATTCAAGCGTTTCTGAAAACACACGATCCATACATGAAGAATACACTGAGTATGTGCAAATACCAACCGAGAACGCCACACACACACACATGCAAACTCTAATAAATGAGTAGACCAGGAAGCAAGGGAGAGCGGGAGGGGCAGGCAGGGAGGGACAGACTGACTGGAGAGAGCTACTGATCTGGCTCTGGCTTCAGAATGACCATGAAGAAGAACGCTGCATACTAGAGTCATTAGCAATGAGCCTCATACCCTCCACTTCTTTAGTCTATGTTCAGTAAGTAGCTTTAAGGCTAAGATATATCTTCCTAACAAGATTTTAATCAGAAAAGAATGGAGGTAATGATTTGATTTCTTTTGTAGTATCTATCCGTTTCCTTTGAGTTCTGCCATGAGCCTGTTCCTGAGATACAGAATCTCTGTGTGCGATTAAAATGGAGTATCTTGACCCAAGGAATAAAAACAGTCATCATAAGGCTATGGCAAGTTCACCAACCTAAATGGCATTTTTGAGGGTTTCTGATGTTTCCTACTAAGAAATGAACCACTTACCATACTTGTAGCTTCTTCTGCCACACCCTCCTAGGCTTGGCTTTAATATCCTACCTACCATACTTTCATCTACCAAGCTTTTCAAGTGACTGCCGGGATTGACTTGCCACCTGCACCATTCTGGACCCCAGGGATACTATCCTAATGGAGGCGCCATCATCCTACCTGTGCAGCTTGATCTTCCTGTGTCTGCTTGAGCTCAGTGCGCAAAGTACTAATGATTTTTTCCTTTTCTTGAAGCTGCTGCTTCATCAGGCTGAAATCCTTCATCTCAACCAAATTCTTGTCCAACTGAAGGGGAAAATATTTACTTAAGTAATGGGATTGGCAACTTTTAGTTCTTTTGACTTTCTCATTTGCCTTGAATACCTACCCTATTTTATACTAATTTCCACTTTAATGCAAAAAGAATTTTATTTGCTAATTTATAAAGTATCATTGAATTGCCAAAACTTTTCAGAAGAAGACAGAAGCAATAGCAATACGCTTTTCAATTTCGTTGAAAGCTAACATAGCAAAGAGACAGACCAAATAGACAGTGAGCAGAAAAACATGGAAATCAGTAACAATATGTAAAAACTATCCTACAAACCTTGCACTAAACAAGTTAAGGGCAAACCAGAAAAATTGGGATTTTCTTGGCATTAGAGAATATAAAATAATAATGATAAAAAAGACAGCAATAGAGCTACATCTGATGTTCCTGTGAAATAGGGAAAAATCCAAGGTAAACAAGAAGTATTTGCAGGAATAGGTGGCAGCTAGTATTAGAAGAGATGCAACACTTCCCATTCTTTGATCATGGGTAAATGCAGGCCATCCACAGGAAAAAAAAAAACCCAAATGCGATCTGTATAGACGTTTAGCAATGGTTCAGTGGCAACTAGCACTTGCTGCTCTTGTGAAAAGATCCAGGTTCCATCACAGCACCCACGCTATCTGTAACTCCAGTTCCAGGGGATCTGATGTCCTCGTCTGACCTCTGGGGGTATGTAGTGCATATACATACATGTAAGCAAAAACATTCACACAAAAGATGCATGAACAATTACATAATATCATTCAAAAGTCAGGCATGGTGGCTCATGCCTATAATTCCAGCACTCAAGAGGCTGAGACAGGAGGACTGCCACAAGTTCAAGGTAAAACTGGGCTACATTGTGAGACCTTCCTTCAAAAACAACAACAAAAATCACGAAGAATAAGGAGAAGAAAAATATGCTGAAAGACACTGTAACCTATATCATCATTAAACATGTTTAAGAAAAATGAAGAGGAAATGAAAGGAAAATTAGAGTTAGAAAAGTTTGAAAAATTAATAAAATTCATGAAGTTGATGTAAAAGAAAACTCGTTTCAGAAGAGAAAGCCAAACACAAAACAGAATGCCTTGAGTTAAATAAGAAAAAGGATAAATCAAAAAAATATTAATCACAATTGGTAAAAAAAAATACACAACCAAAAGTAAAGGTTAACAGAAACCTGCAAGGAAAAAAATGAAAGCATCGGAGCTGACCGAATGCTATGCATCATGCAATTCGAGAGTTTCTGAAAACAAACGATCCATACATGAAGAATACATTGAGTATGTGCAAATACCAACCGAGAACGCCACACACACACACATGCAAACTCTAATAAATGAGTAGACCAGGAAGCAAGGGAGAGCGGGAGGGGCAGGCAGGGAGGGACAGACTGACTGGAGGGAGCTACTGATCTGGCTCTGGCTTCAGAATGACCATGAAGAAGAACGCTGCATACTAGAGTCATTAGCAATGAGCCTCATACCCTCCACTTCTATAGTCTATGTTCAGTGTAAGTAGCTTTAAGGCTAATATATGTCTTCCTAACAAGATTTTAATCAGAAAAGAATGGAGGTAATGATTTGATTTCTTTTGTAGTATCTATCCGTTTCCTTTGAGTTCTGCCATGAGCCTGTTCCTGAGATACAGAATCTCTGTGTGCGATTAAAATGGAGTATCTTGACCCAAGGAATAAAAACAGTCATCATAAAGCAATGGCAAGTTCACCAACCTAAATGGCATTTTTGAGGGTTTCTGATGTTTCCTACTAAGAAATGAACCACTTACCATACTTGTAGCTTCTTCTGCCACACCCTCCTAGGCTTGGCTTTAATATCCTACCTACCATACTTTCATCTACCAAGTTTTCAAGTGACTGCCGGGATTGACTTGCCACCTGCACCATTCTGGACCCCAGGGATACTATCCTAATGGAGGCGCCATCATCCTACCTGTGCAGCTTGATCTTCCTGTGTCTGCTTGAGCTCAGTGCGCAAAGTACTAATGATTTTTTCCTTTTCTTGAAGCTGCTGCTTCATCAGGCTGAAATCCTTCATCTCAACCAAATTCTTGTCCAACTGAAGGGGAAAATATTTACTTAAGTAATGGGATTGGCAACTTTTAGTTCTTTTGACTTTCTCATTTGCCTTGAATACCTACCCTATTTTATACTAATTTCCACTTTAATGCAAAAAGAATTTTATTTGCTAATTTATAAAGTATCATTGAATTGCCAAAACTTTTCAGAAGAAGACAGAAGCAATAGCAATACGCTTCTCAATTTCGTTGAAAGCTAACATAGCAAAGAGACAGACCAAATAGACAGTGAGAGGAAACATGGAAATCAGTAACAATATGTAAAAACTATCCTACAAACCTTGCACTAAACAAGTTAAGGGCAAACCAGAAAAATTGGGATTTTCTTGGCATTAGAGAATATAAAATAATAATGATAAAAAAGACAGCAATAGAGCTACATCTGATGTTCCTGTGAAATAGGGAAAAATCCAAGGTAAACAAGAAGTATTTGCAGGAATAGGTGGCAGCTAGTATTAGAAGAGATGCAACACTTCCCATTCTTTGATCATGGGTAAATGCAGGCCATCCACAGGTAAAAAAGAAACCCAAATGCGATCTGTATAGACGTTTAGCAATGGTTCAGTGGCAACTAGCACTTGCTGCTCTTGTGAAAAGATCCAGGTTCCATCACAGCACCCACGCTATCTGTAACTCCAGTTCCAGGGGATCTGATGTCCTCGTCTGACCTCTGGGGGTATGTAGTGCATATACATACATGTAAGCAAAAACATTCACACAAAAGATGCATGAACAATTACATAATATCATTCAAAAGTCAGGCATGGTGGCTCATGCCTATAATTCCAGCACTCAAGAGGCTGAGACAGGAGGACTGCCACAAGTTCAAGGTAAAACTGGGCTACATTGTGAGACCTTCCTTCAAAAACAACAACAAAAATCACGAAGAATAAGGAGAAGAAAAATATGCTGAAAGACACTGTAACCTATATCATCATTAAACATGTTTAAGAAAAATGAAGAGGAAATGAAAGGAAAATTAGAGTTAGAAAAGTTTGAAAAATTAATAAAATTCATGAAGTTGATGTAAAAGAAAACTCGTTTCAGAAGAGAAAGCCAAACACAAAACAGAATGCCTTGAGTTAAATAAGAAAAAGGATAAATCAAAAAAATATTAATCACAATTGGTAAAAAAAAAAATACACAACCAAAAGTAAAGGTTAACAGAAACCTGCAAGGAAAAAAATGAAAGCATCGGAGCTGACCGAATGCTATGCATCATGCAATTCGAGAGTTTCTGAAAACAAACGATCCATACATGAAGAATACATTGAGTATGTGCAAATACCAACCGAGAACGCCACACACACACACATGCAAACTCTAATAAATGAGTAGACCAGGAAGCAAGGGAGAGCGGGAGGGGCAGGCAGGGAGGGACAGACTGACTGGAGGGAGCTACTGATCTGGCTCTGGCTTCAGAATGACCATGAAGAAGAACGCTGCATACTAGAGTCATTAGCAATGAGCCTCATACCCTCCACTTCTATAGTCTATGTTCAGTGTAAGTAGCTTTAAGGCTAATATATATCTTCCTAACAAGATTTTAATCAGAAAAGAATGGAGGTAATGATTTGATTTCTTTTGTAGTATCTATCCGTTTCCTTTGAGTTCTGCCATGAGCCTGTTCCTGAGATACAGAATCTCTGTGTGCGATTAAAATGGAGTATCTTGACCCAAGGAATAAAAACAGTCATCATAAAGCAATGGCAAGTTCACCAACCTAAATGGCATTTTTGAGGGTTTCTGATGTTTCCTACTAAGAAATGAACCACTTACCATACTTGTAGCTTCTTCTGCCACACCCTCCTAGGCTTGGCTTTAATATCCTACCTACCATACTTTCATCTACCAAGTTTTCAAGTGACTGCCGGGATTGACTTGCCACCTGCACCATTCTGGACCCCAGGGATACTATCCTAATGGAGGCGCCATCATCCTACCTGTGCAGCTTGATCTTCCTGTGTCTGCTTGAGCTCAGTGCGCAAAGTACTAATGATTTTTTCCTTTTCTTGAAGCTGCTGCTTCATCAGGCTGAAATCCTTCATCTCAACCAAATTCTTGTCCAACTGAAGGGGAAAATATTTACTTAAGTAATGGGATTGGCAACTTTTAGTTCTTTTGACTTTCTCATTTGCCTTGAATACCTACCCTATTTTATACTAATTTCCACTTTAATGCAAAAAGAATTTTATTTGCTAATTTATAAAGTATCATTGAATTGCCAAAACTTTTCAGAAGAAGACAGAAGCAATAGCAATACGCTTCTCAATTTCGTTGAAAGCTAACATAGCAAAGAGACAGACCAAATAGACAGTGAGAGGAAACATGGAAATCAGTAACAATATGTAAAAACTATCCTACAAACCTTGCACTAAACAACTTAAGGGCAAACCAGAAAAATTGGGATTTTCTTGGCAAGAGAATATAAAATAATAATGATAAAAAAGAGAGCAATAGAGCTACATCTGATGTTCCTGTGAAATAGGGAAAAATCCAAGGTAAACAAGAAGTATTTGCAGGAATAGGTGGCAGCTAGTATTAGAAGAGATGCAACACTTCCCATTCTTTGATCATGGGTAAATGCAGGCCATCCACAGGAAAAAAAAAAAACCCAAATGCGATCTGTATAGACGTTTAGCAATGGTTCAGTGGCAACTAGCACTTGCTGCTCTTGTGAAAAGATCCAGGTTCCATCACAGCACCCACGCTATCTGTAACTCCAGTTCCAGGGGATCTGATGTCCTCGTCTGACCTCTGGGGGTATGTAGTGCATATACATACATGTAAGCAAAAA